ATTTATCTCAAGGTATCGATTTCCTCTTTGATGTCTTCACTGACACTTTGGTTGTTCAGTTACACGTTGTTTAGTATCCATGTATTTGTGTTTTTTGCCAGTTTCTATCTTGTAATTGATTTCTGGTTTCATACTGTTATGGTCAGAAAAGATTCTTGACATGATTTCAATCTTCTTGAATGCATTGAGACTTGTTTTGTGGCCTAACATGTAATCTGTTCTGGAGCGTGTTCCATACGCACTTGAAAAGTACTGTCTATTCTGCAGTTCGGGATGCAATGTTCTATATGTATCAGTTAAATTCATCTGGTCAAATGTGTCATTTAAGGCCAATATTTCCTTACTAATTTCCTGTCTGGGTGATTTATCCATTGATGTAAGTGGGGTATTAAAGTCCCCTAATATTACTATACTACTGTCAAGTTTCCATTGACATCTGTTAATATTTGCTTTATATATTTAGGTGCAAGGGCTACATTAGTGATTGAGATAATCATGTTTTAAAAATTATGTCATTGATGGCAAGTGCAATTCCTACTTGGTTAATTTGTGTATGGTTTGGTCTTGTGTATTCCATTTGGTAGCAGTGCTTACTTTTTTTCTTTTTCTGTAGTTGGACTTTTCATTACTGTAATAATAATAATAAGTGTCATATAACTGTCATCCATGATAAGCTGTCAGTTAGAAAACTTGGCCCTGTTGCTTTCTTCTTGCTGGAGTTTGGTATACCGACTGTAATATATTTTAGCTGACCAGCCTGGTGGGTTCACTTGGTTTGAACATCATTGTAACCAGGCAGGGTGCACATTCCATCTGTGTTGGATCTGTTAGTGTATTTCCTAGGCTGTGGCTGCCCCACTCTGTTTATAAATATACACACTGCTCACAAGAGAGAGGAAACACAAACTTCTGCATTCCCAGCACATACTTCATATTTTGGGTACAAAGGACTAAATATTTATTTAGTTGATACTATTTAGTTGATGTTATTTAGGTGATAGTGTCAAACATTTGTTTATTTGGTGAAGGTAGAGTAATAAGTTCAGAGACAAATATTCTTGAAATAATAATATTGTGATATGGCTTATCCATTTGGAAGACAGAAAGGGAATGGAAGGAGAAAAATATGGTGAGCTTAGGCAGTCAAATAATAAGGAACTGTGAACTGCTTCCTCTTTTTTTTTAATGTCTTAGATTCTCTGAGGCAGGGAGATAGTCCTTAGGACACATACAAAGAACCTGCTAGATTTTTTTCTTGCTGTTCCCCTAAAGTATATTTGCTCAGAAAGGACCGCAGCAATCCAAGACTCTGGTATTCCAGCTGATCTCAGGCAATAGAATACTAAATGTGGCTACAAAAACAAACAAACCCCCAAAAGACAACAAAATTCCAGTAACTATCAGGATGCATAATGTTTGTTAAAGTCACGGTTTCCTGTGTAAAACAATAAAGACCTCCTTGTTAGGTTTTTGGACAGTTCCTTAAATTTCAATTCCTGAAAAGCTGGGGGTCTGGATTTAGAGTATACAGAAAGAGAAATTTTGACTTGTGAGTACAGACGTCATTGTGATGTGGTTTATTTCTTAGTGTTCATTTAGTGTAGGCTTATGTATTAGGTTCTCAATCACGGTCTGTATCACGGTCATCTTATTTTGTGTTTCAGAGGATTTTTGTTGTTGTTCTGAACTACACTTAAACACTACGTATAAGGACTGAGTCTTCTATTTAAGAGATGATTATGTAGGTTTCCCTGAGTTGGAATTTGTCCCATTTAGTATTTGACTTAGTAATTGATTTCCTTTGCTTTCAGTTTGGGTTTAATTTCTTTTTCAAGTTTTTCTACCCTTCGGCATGTTTCTTGAACAAAGAACAAGTTGAGATCTTGTGATCTCTTTTTAGAACATCCAAGAAATAGGGATTTACAAGTTCCCAAAGCCAAAAAATCCTGCCCCCAAGTCCTTCCCACCAGAAGTTCCCATCCATGCTATCTTAAAAGCACCACAGGGCAGGTCCCATGTCTGCCAAGGGACCAAAACTATTACTAAAGACAGACCTTTAGGATCATACCAGTGGACTAGTTTTACAGATTCTTACTTGAAATTGCTTAAAATTGAAAAATGAAAAGCTACAGTAAAGATGTAGTTTAGAAAACATGCAAGTTTGTGGACAGTTTTGGATTGTCAGTAATCAGAGGATTTTGCACAAACACCCCCTCACTCCCTTTCTTCCCCTCCTGTGTTCTGCAGCTCTTCCAGCAGGTGTCACTATAATCACAGAACAAACATTCCACAGCATGGTATGTAACTTTATTTTTCTAGCATAATAATTTAAAGTATTTACACACTGCACACTCACTGTTTTACACAGATACTTATCCATATACCTATGAACCACATCTAAAGGTTTCTTTGCAAAGACTCGACACACTGTGGGAATTTCCAAGCATTAACAAAGGGAAGAAAAGGACAAAAAAATGTTTTGAGTCTTTTAAAGACAGCCATGTGGAGCATCTGTGAAAACCAGTGTTTTCCCTCAAGTTTTAACCTCCCCCAGGAGACCTTTGAATAGCTACATCTTGTCCATGTGGTGGGATCACCTGAAACTCTTGGTTAAGGAAGATTGCAAGAACCAAAATGTACAAGTACTATTTTCTCTAAAAGTCCTAGAAAAGAAATGGAAAATAAGCTGGCCCTTCTCTAGAGAAGCATCTGTATTTCTTAGTCATCTGTGGGGACTGTAAATGTTGTAGGAGGACACTGATTATAAAGGGAGACTAGCCAAACACACTGGCACAAATGCTAGTGAAACAGAATGCTTAGAGGCATCCTTCCCAGCTAGGATATGGCAGAGCAACCTGTTTCTTTCCCCAACTATTAGTAGAGGTTGTGATTTTGCTTTCCCTAAAGAGGACAAAGGTAATATGAACCATATACACTCTAAAGCCAGACACTGTAGAAACTTCTATTGCTTTTACTTCACTTTTATACTGTTCACACAAGAATAGTGGTTATACTCTAAATATTTTTCCTCCTTTGTTCTCAATTACCTAACAAAATTACTAGCTAACTATAGCTTCTGAACTGGCACATGTCCTGTAGGTGAACAGAAATAGCCACAGTTCAGAGCTCATGGTAGGTAGGCCCCCGCGTCTTTATAGAAGGGTAACAAGTTCAGTTTCACTTCTCTGGTATTGCGTCTTTTTATCAAGTAAGAAGTAGGGTGCCTTTGTGATTTTCCCAGACTTCCCAAGACTATCCTCTCCTAGATCAGAAAAAGAGCAGTTTCCCACCTCTAGATGAACCCACAGCTCCATGCTGTAATTGGATCATCAGTTCACTAAGAAATAGAATTTCACGAACCAAAATCCTCTTCTCCTGCTAGTTTGGGCCTCTGGTCGTGACCCTAATCAATGGGGCATGGGAAAAGGCAGGCCCCAGGTTTAGATACCTGGCTATCTAAAATTCAGCACAAGTTGGATCCTAATTGCTGTGGTATATAAAATTAACTTTCTTCTTGCACTTATGTAAATCTGAGTAAGGTAAGGTACAAATTCTTTCGTTTCTCCTTGGAACCAAACATTTACATAGATACAATAGAAATCCACCTGCCCTAGGTAGAACTCACTTCCTCGTTGTTCTTGCATTTTGTGGGTGGTGCTTTCCTTTTGCAAGGGCGTGCCAACAGGTGAAATGGAAGGAGGTATTTTACTTTATAGGAATTTTACCAAGTTACATGAGCACTCACTAGTATATTATCACTATAGATGTTACAAAGGAGCATATCTAATTAAAGAAAGAGAGACCACCTGGGAAGCAACGTTGCTCAGTGAGAAGGTCTGGGTTCACCAGAGCCCATTTTGCCACTTACTGGCTCAGGCCCTCAAAGTTTTCCTGTCATTTAACACCCTATCCTTTCCCTCATGCATACAGACACGTCAGCGCCAGTGACTGTGAAGGCCACGGTGTGGACGGCAAGGAAGAGTGGCACACCTTGTGATGGGATCTGGGCCTCGACACGAAGAGAGAATCTAACAAGGCCTAGTCTCTGGGTTCTTCAGGTGAGGTTGAAGAGGGTTTACGGGGGGTGGAGACAGGGAGCAGTGTGTCTCTGGGCATAAACAGCCAAGGAAAGAAGGCTTAGAACTTGGGCTTGCACAAATGATACAGAGAAGAGCAAGGTGTGATACAGTTTAAACAGGAACACGGGAGGAGGAAATGTCTGAGAGCTCCTGGCGTCTAGTAAAATGCCTGGTATTTATCTATGAAATTGCCATCACCAGCCCCTTCTGACCTAATAGAAACAGCAGTTTCATATGGCTCAACCTCACATTCCCTAAGTGCTCAGAACAATCCTAATTAATGAAAACTGTAGTAATACACTCCCTGCCCTTTGAAAAAGTGACAGTTGTGAAGGAGGGCGAGGGTTGCTTAGAGATGCGTGTTTCACAAGAGCCAAAGTGCCTGTCGGGGAGTTAGTTAGTTGTCCTTCCGCACGGAGTGAGAGTAAGGACCTCCTCGCTCAAGGGACGCAGCTCCGCCAGCAGGAGGCCAGTGAAAGCTGCGCACCCAATGTGGCAGATCAGTAGCAAAGGGAGAAGGCAGGGACGGACAGCCAGGGACAGCCACGAGCACCGTCACTGGTCCTCTTCAGCGGGAACGCTGCGATGGCGTCTGTGTATATGTACTATACGTACTAACCAGGTACACACATAAATATTTAATATATAAAAAATAAAGTGCTTTCTAACAGGTCCCCCGGCAGGGACATTATAAAATATTTCACAAAACTGCAAAACAAAATCAATACAGTCGAAGAACACTACATCCAACATACTTGGAACAGTCACGCACATTATGTACAGTCTGGTGGGTGCCCCAGGACAAACATCCTGTCATATACATGGTATATACATATATACTCTGTTACTCAATATATTATGACAATATATATTTTAAAATTCTGTTATAGACAAAAAATAAAAAAAAACAAAAGACAATCCCTACAAAAACACAATAAAGATCAAGCATGTGAGTCCCAGACTGACAGACAAATGGCCGCCTCCACGGGGTGTCCCGTGGCTACTGCTCGGGAAGATGTGCCAGCGTTCCTTCCTCGGGTGCAGCGCCTCCACGTCCTCCAAGGCACTGTGAGCAGCGGCGGTGAAGTTGGCATCCCCAGTGGTGAGCAGGTCGAAGACACAGGACTGGAAGTAGATGTCCTTCACTGGCATCTTCTCGTGGCACTGAGCATTGGCAGCCTCCAGTGTGTAGCCAGGCCAGGCCTGCGCCAATGAGGTGCGAGGCACGCTGTGCCCCAGGATGGCAGACACCTGGCCCTGCCCATCATCAATGCGCTCGCTCAGGGGGCAGCCATTCACACACAGCTGCAGGTCCTGGCTTTCCTCATAGGACATGGCCAGGTCTTCAGGCATGCGGATGGCGAGGGTCAGGTAGCGACCCAGCTGCCGCACAAATACCGTGGTCCCTATGTAGCGGGCGTGCATTTCCACGTAGCGGCCGCTCTCCCTCTCCACGATAAGCAGGCTCTTGGTGTCGCCATCCCCACCGCTGGTGCTGCCATCCACAAAGGCGGCCGGCAGGTCATCTGTCACAGCTTGGTACACTTTCTGATCTGTGCACTCACGGTGAGCTTTGAAGATGATGGTTATCTGTGGGGAGGAACGCATACAAATTTAAACAGGGTGGAAGGGAAACAGAAGTGTTCTCTTCTAGGCTGGAGGTGAATGGCTGGAGACAGGATCTCCAGACTCAGGCCCAAGTGCTCCTGCCTCACAAATGAAAGGTGCCACTGTTAAGGGGGAGAAAAAGTCCTCGAGGCTTAAGTATAAAAATTTAATGCAAATCCCGGAAATGTGCATCAAGAAAAACTTTACTTTCCTCAGACAGAACCATGTTGCTGTTCGGATACAGGTAATTTTTTCTGATAACTTGGTATCTTCTTCCCCAAACAGCTGACTGGTGGTATAGCTCTGAGAAAAAAAAAGACTCCTTTCTAAGTTATATAGAAACTTATGGGGCTTAATTAATAATATACCCACCAGAACTTTGATTTCTAAAAAGATTCCTCACTGGATCATAAATCCAGCCCCCATGGCTCACCATTACAAACATTCTTACAAACACTCAAGAGACAAAGCAGAGTTGAGGATGGGGCCATCCTGCCAATAGCCACCAATCATGCCTCAGCTAAGATTTCTTTAAGTCTCTTAATCAAATGTTTCACATGACTGGCTAATCCCTGGGACTGGGAAATCACTTGGCAAACACAGGTCCTGGGCACTGGCAGAGAATAAATACCCTCAACCTAGTTACAGCAAATGTTTTCCCCAAACAGCACAATGGCCCTTGAACTTCTCAGAAATTTTTTCTGGAGTCAAGTCTAAATTCTCCAAATTAAGCAGACAAAATGGATACTACAAAAGCTTTCCTTTAGTAAACCCATTTTCCTTCCTTATTTAGAACAATTACAAGACACTGAACCTTCACCTCCAACACACTCAGCATGTCTGGTACACATGGTGTAAGAAGAGGACTATCAAGAGAGGGCCTTCTGGGTCACACAAGGTAGGAAAAGCGTCCTGAAGAAAAGGAAAGAATAGCCTGCCATTTCTGTTGTTGTCAGGACCTGAAGTAATGGCATATTTTTCTTTCTTCTTGAAGAAGAAAACACAAACAAAAACAGGTGACCTCAGTCCAGGAGGAAGGTAGACCAGCCACACTACAAACTTCTCTGGAGAGAGGAAAACTCCCCTCTCCTGCAAGGGAGCTAATGCAAACAACAGACCCTTGTTACAAGGGCCAGAAAATGTCCTGCTTGCCCCCTCCCCCCCTCTCTTCTACACATCCTCACCACCACCCTCTAGTTTGTCTGAGTTTTTTTCCTCAACCTGGCCAGCATTTACTCACACTATTTAATTCCACATGTTCCCACTGGTGTTACTTGACTGGAATTTTCCAGCCATTTCATTTTACTTCAGCCAGTTAGTTATAAAGCCAGATCTGAACCAGCTGTACTGTAGCAACTGGTTAAACTCATATCCGTTGTTTGCAGCTGCAACTAAAAGCCAGACAATGTACTATGAAAATGCTTGGTGTTCTCCCTTCCTAATTACCCTGACCCACAATTTAATTTCACTACCGGCCTTCTCACATTTCAACACCTTCTTAACAACCCAAAGGAGGTGTACCAGAGATGACTGCAGGAAATTTGTTGTGCATCCAACCATAGGACCTTCCAGAGTGAATGGGATTCTGAGCTAGATATCTAATGGGACTATAAAATAGATTTATTTGGTGGCTCTAAAGACAGTTTGACAAGTGCCTTTTTTAACACAAGCCAGGATCCTTTGGAGGTGCAAAGATTAATTCAAGTAAATTCTGTACCTCACAGAGTTGAAAGCTAATACAGATGGCTCCAATAAGGGTGAGTAAAACTTTTCATATAATCACTGTCCTCATTTTTACCCGGAGCATTCACACACTCAAGGACTAAACCAATGATTCTACAACAGCTAAGTAATTTATCTTTCTAGTCTAACCAACCTCAAATTTAAGTGAACATTATTTGCAAGAATCAAGTACCAATTTTGTTCATCTTAGGAAAAACAAAGAGGAATTAGTTTTGTTGAGACAATCAGAGACCCAATTCCAGTCAAGTTCCTAAACAGGCAAGCAAGGGTCAACATTAAGAGGAGTGGAATAGTTCCACATGTCTTACCAAGCCTAGTGTTTTCTTTAAGCACACCAATTCCAACTCAGGAGTCATTTCAAACACCTCATGCAGTATTGTCCTCTGCTATGCCTGCTCCACTAACAGTAACTCCCATAACCCTAGATCAAATAACACTCAAGCTTGACTTCTGCACTAAGATCTACATTTACCAAATATCCCAGTCTTTCTAACAGATTTTTGTCCAATTTTCTAGGAGTCATCTTCTCTATGAGACAGCAAAGCTGATATTTCTCTTTTGGGCAAAATAATTCTCACAGCACAAATGTACAGAATTAGCCCTTGAATCAAAATCTTGGGACTCGTGGGTGGCTCGGTCAGTTGAACATCTGAGTTTTGATTTCGGCTCAGGTCATGATCCTAGGGTTGTGGGATTGAGACCCATAATGAGTGTGGGCCCTGCTGAAGATTCATTCTCTTTCTCCTTCTGCCCCTCTCCCCACCTCACATTCTCTCGCTCTCTAGAGGGGTTTCCTGAGTGGTTCCCTGTAGTTTGAGTATGTACTGAAGAGGTACCTAGAGATATAATCAACATGAGTGAAGAAAACACCAGGCAACAGTTGTACGTGACTTATATTTTGTAATGTAACTTCATTCCTTATACAATTACAACTCAAGCTCTTAAAAAAGGCACTCAGCTGTGAGGAGCCAGAAATTAATTTTCAGATTCTATCTTGTTTTTAGAAAAACAAAATTTGTTTATTCTTATTTTTTTAAAAAATTTTTAATGTTTATTTTTGAGAGAGACAGAGTGTGGGCAGGGAAGTGTCAGAGAGAGAGACAGGGAGACACAGAATTTGGAGCAGGCTCCAGGCTCTGAGCTATGAGCAAAGAGCCCGACATGGGGCTCGAACTCATGGACTGCAAGATCATGACCTGAGCCCAAGTCGGACACTAAACTGACTGAGCCACCCAGGCGCCCCAATTCTTATTCTTAAAAAAAAACAAAAACAAAAAAAAAAAACCTCAGAATTTTTGGACATTCCAAACGTTTTCAACTGCCAACTAGCAGCTATTAGAGGGTGAAAACAGGATATTCAAAACTGTATTCTAAAGCTCTCAAACAGATAATTTAAAAACACCAGCTATAGTGCTTACTTTTCCCCATCCATGAACTGATCCATATGCTGTAATAACTCAATTTGGCACATCTATTCTACGCCACACCATTTATTATTGATGGATGGCATTTCTGTGCATTTAAAACATCAATGCCTTTTGTTAAACCTTTCCCACCAAGTCCCTCTCAACCCCTACCTCAGACAAACTACTCCAGTACTCCTCATTCATTTTTAATGTTGCACTCCCTAAGATCTTTACTACCCACAAGGTCTATTAGGAAGACAAGAGATAGCAGCTGCAAATCAACCTTTCTACATGTGATATACGGATTTAAGGTTTGCTGTGAAAAATCGAACTTTAGGGGCACCTGCCTCTCTTTTCCACCATGAAGAGAAAATGCATTAAAAGAAAATGAGGTAACCAACAAAGGAGAACCCAGGCCCAGCTTTGCCAAGATAGAGAAAGAGCTCCACCAGGCTCAACAGCTTTGCAAAGTGCTGTGCATAGGTTTTCAAACAGCAGAATTCCCTTAAGGCTGTACACTTAACTAGTGTTTATTGTGTTTTGGAAGAAATAACCATCAGCGTTTAGTCAGGCTATTCAGCACTGTAAGTGCAGAACCTTACCAGAATCCTCAAATTCCAGAACTGGACTCTCAGATCAAGGGACTCCTATCTCTTGGATTAAGATGGGCCAACAAACGAAACTGAAATAGTCCCAGAAATTGGGAAAGAACACAGAGAAACACAATTTTGATAAGTACCTGGTTAAAATTCTGTTTGTGTTAAAGGAAGCTAAGATTAATTCTATTTTGCATCATCAGCTGATATGTCTGCTTCATTAGATCCTCTGGGTGCAATTATAGGTTGGAAAAAAAAAGGCACCCTATAAGGGAGGATAAGAGAACCACTGCTCAAATCCCCTTTTACCCTTACTTAAACTGGCACACAGCCTCTACATTAAGTCCTCTGGTGTGAGCAAAAATAAACCACTCCAATAAGGGTACATGCTTCAAAGGAAAACATTCACAAGCTCTATCTCTAGGTCCAAAATATCTACTCTTTATTTCTCAGGGTCAATTTCCTCTCAGATCAGGAATAAAATAAGGATGTCCACTCTTGCCACAGCAATCAGACAAGAAAGATAAGTCATTCTTAATTCGTAAGGAGGAAGTAAAACTGTCACTATTTGCAGATGACAATGATACTATGTATAGAAAACCCTAAGGATTTAACAAAAAACCTATTAGAATAATTAAATCCAATAAAGTTGCAGGATACAAAATTAATATACAGATCGTTGCCTTTGTATATACTAAGAAGCTCTCAAAATGAGAAATTAAGAAAACTATCCCATTTGTAATTGCATCAAAATTAATAAAATACCTAGGAATAAATTTAACCGAGTGACACACCTCTACTCTGAAAACTATAAAACAATGATGAAAGAAATTGAAGACAAAAAGTAAATATGCTCATGGAGTAGAAGAATACTGTTAACATGTCTATACTACCCAAAGCAATCTACAGATTAAATGGAATCTCTACCAAAATACCAACAGCATTTTACACAGAATTTGGATTAAAATCTGTATGAAATCACAAAAGACCCTGGGTAGCTAAAGCAGTCTTGAAAAAGAACAAAGTTGGAGGCATCACAATCCCTGATTTCAAACTATAATACAGAGCTGTAGTAATCAAAACAGTATGGCACTGGCACAAAAACAGACATGCAAATAAATGGAACAGAAAAAAAGTTCAGAAAGAAACCCATGCTTATATGGACAATTAATGTGTAACAAAGTGGCACAAGAACATACAATGGAAAAAACAGTCTCTCAATAAATGGTGTTGGGAA